CTAATAACAGCAGGACTTAGGGCTAGAGAACTAGAACTGAAAACTCAGAAACAGAATGGCACAAATCTGTTTGTTAAGAGTAGACCTGAACCTAGTCACACTGGCAAAGGAAATCAGAATAATCAGGGGGTTAGAAATAAGAAAAAATGGAAGGGCAGTAACAAGCATAGAGGAGAATCCAGAAAATGTTTCTTTTGTAATAAAACAAGGCATATTAAAAAGAACTGTTTTAAGTGGATTAAAAAGCAAAAACAAGGGAATACTGAGAATAACCTAGCTACTACTAGAAACCTGGTAGAGGAGCCTGAAGTCCTTACTGTGTCAATGAATGACACTTGTGAAGAGTGGGTGTTGGACTCAGGCTGTTCATTTCACATGATCCCTAGGAGAGACTAGTTCCAGGACTTTGAAAATGTTGAAAATGAAACTGTGTACATGGGAAACAATAATGCTTGCAGAGTAAAAGTGGTAGGCACTGTGACTCTAAGGGTTAACACAGGAAAAGTGGTAAAACTAACTAGGGTCAGATACATACCAGAACTTAAAAGAAACTTGATATCCCTAGGCACCTTAGATGAATCAGGATGTTGTTACAAAGCAGAACATGGATGCTTGAACATATATAGGGGTAACAACCTGATACTAACAGGAGAGAAGAGAAATGGCCTTTATATCCTTTGTGGAAATTATTCCCAAAACTATTTTAACTCTGTGATTACTTCTACTAACTTGTCCAATACAGAAAAGTGGCACCTTAGATTAGGTCACATGAGTCAAAGGGGCATGGACATTCTGAAGAATAAAGGGCAGTTTGGAAAGGACAAGACCACTTCCCTTGAATTCTGTGAGAATTGTGTTCTAGGGAAACAGCATAGAAATAGCTTCACGTACCAAAGGGACACACCTAGCAACCAGTCCACTAGAATACATCCACTCTGACCTCTGGGGACCTGGAAAAGTGAAGTCTCATGGAGGAAATAATTACTTCATGTCTTTGGTGGATGACTATAGCCGCAAGGTGTGGGTATACTTGTTGAAAATAAAAGATCAGGCCCTAGCTAGGTTTAAGGATTGGAAAACCTTAGTAGAAAACCAAATGGGAAAAAGGGTGAAGGTTCTCAGAACATACAATGGGCTAGAATTTTGCAATCAAGAATTTGATAAGTTTTGTAGTGACCAAGGGGTTTTAAGACATAGAACAGTGACATATACCCCACAACAGAATGGAGTGGCAGAACGAATGAATAGAACCCTCCTTGATAAGGTTAGGTGCTTGTTAATAACCTCCAAACTCCCCAACTCATTCTGGGGAGAAGCCCTTTCAACAGCTGCTTACCTGGTATCCTCTGTACAATAGGTATGATCTGATAATGCCAAAGAATTTTTTAACCACGTCTGTAGTTCCCTATTGTCTTCCCTTGGAATTCTTCATGAGAGTTCCTGTACATACACTCCACAACAAAACGGGGTAGTTGAACGTAAACATAGGCAATTGTTAGAAGTTGCTTGGGCCTTTAAACACCAAGCCAACCTACCTTTGTCCTTTTGGGGTGAATGTGTGGTCACAGCTACTTACTTAATCAACCGATGCCATCTCATGTGCTGGGTGGTAAAACACCATATGAATACTCTTTCGTAAACCTCCGGATATTAGTCACCTTTGTGTGTTTGGTTGCCTGTGCTATTCAAAAGTTATAGGATCCAATGACAAATTTGGGGCCTGAGTCACACTTTGTATTTTCATGGGCTATCCTATGTTGCAAAAAGGGTACAAGTTGTATGATCTAGTAGCAAAGAAGTTCTTGGTATCACGGGATGTTGTTTTTCATGAGGACATATTTCCTTATCATGGTGCAATTATCAATCCCAGCTCACCTCAAATGACAGCTTCTATGGATGATGTTCCTTCCCCGAGCCCAATCTTTGAGCTCATTCTTGCTTCCCTTGCTCCTGGCACTACAGATTTACCAACAAGTCCTCCATCCACTACTCTCTCAGCAGAAGATACTTCCATTAGCAACATTCCACCATAGTTACAATCCCCTGCCAGAGTTTCTGAACCTCCTCCATGGTAATCCACACTCACCACTTGGCCTCCTATTTGGACAATTGATTATGTTTGCCTCACAATACATATCTCCACAAGCAATCATTATCCAACCTCTAAGTATGTCAGCTATGATAACATTTCTTTGACTTATAGAGTTTGTATCAGTTAGATTTCTGTAGAACGGGAATCTTCTTGTTATTCTTAGACTTTCTCATTCTCACTGGCGTCAAGCTATGGCTAAAGAACTTTATGTTCTCGCCCTCAATCATACATTGGATTTAGTGCAACGTCCAATGCACATAAAACCTACTAGCTGCAAATATGTATATAAGATCAAGCACTGTTCGGATGGCTTCATTAAGAGACATAAAGCTAGACTGGTTGCAAAAGGCTTCACTGAACGTGAAGGATTTAATTATGTTGAAACTTTCTCCCCTGCGGCCAAACATGTTATTGTTCGCACTTTTTTGACAATGGCTTCTATTCGTGACTGAACCTTGCATCAAATGGACGTTCACAATGCATTTCTTCATGGTGATCTCCACAAGAAAATTTATATGGACATTCCTTTGGGACTCAATGACGGGGGAGAATACAATATATTATTTTCGAAAGTCCCTATATGGTTTAAAGCAAGTCTTTCGATATTGGAATTAGACGTTCACTAAAGCTCTCACAAAGCTCGGATTTACTCAATCAAAACATGATTATGCTTTTTTCTCTAGACAATGAGGTACCTCTTTCATTACTCTTATTAGATACGTAGATGACATTCTGATCACAGGAAATGATGAAACAACCATCAAGATCTTAAAAGAGCATCTCAGTAAGCACTTCCGTATCAAAGATCTAGGGGAACCAAAGTACTTCCTTGGAATTGAAATTGCAAGGTCTCCATTAGGAATATCTCTTAGCCAACGGAAATATATATAACTACAACAAAAATGGCTTACGGTAACATGCAAAAAGTGTTACCGTAGGTAATTCGTAGCATTTATAAGGATGCTATGACAACCTATGTTACTAAAAATCAGACATTGATAGCACTTTTTGCATGTTACTAATCATTTCAATAACTATCATAAAATGTTGTTGTTAAGTATATTGTAGCACTTATTTGTAGTTACGAATGATTTTTGGTAACACTCTATAAATGCTATAAATAAGTTTTCTATAACATTTTTAACCTGTTTTAGTTTAATTTTCTTTAACATTATGATAATGTTATAAATAAGTTTTATGTAACATTCTTATCCTGTTACAGTTTAGTTTTCTGTAACATTCTCAAAATGCTATAAATAAGTTTTCTATAACATTCTTAACCTGTTACAGTTTAGTTTAGTTTTCTGTAACATTCTCAAAATGCTATAAATAAGTTTTCTGTAACTTTCTTAAAATGTTACAGTTTAGTTTTCTGTAACATTCTCAAAATGTTATAAAAACGTTTTCTGTAACTTACTTAACTTGTTACAGTTTAGTTTTCTGTAACATCTCAAAATGCTATAGATAAGTTTTTTATAACATTCTTAACCTGTTACAGTTTAGTTTTTTGTAACATTGTTAAAATGCTATAGAAGAGTTTTTAATAACATGTTAAAAGTGCTACCAAAGTATCATTCATTACATTTAGTAAATATTACAAAATTATTTTCCATAACATTTTGAAAGTGTTATCAATGTGTCTATTATAGCATATATAAAATTGTTATAGTTGTTATTTAAATAATACAAATTATAAACAATGATACACTAATTTTCCAAAGAACATTTCATTGATGGTGAACCTTCATATGCAAAAAGTTTGCATATGTGCCTAATAAATAGCCACCCAACATCCTTTACATCCATAAAATCTAATATGCTTCATATATCATATCACATTTTGTAACATATAAACCGTCATATACAAAAAGTTTTATATATGCCTAACAAATATACGCCTGTCATTTTTACATAATTATAATACCTAGATGATTGGAAAATTAACTATGAGCAATAGTTTATACCTTCCAATCATTCAAAAAATTCTAACAACAAAAACCATCATGTATACCGTCTGCCATTCCAAATTGTGCTTTACCAAAAAAGTACTCTTGTATTTTCACAACCTACAAAACCATTAATACAAAAAAATCTTCAATTCCCATGTATATTCTCAAAGATGACAACACATATATATTGTAAATTCAAGAAAAGATCAAGACAAAAACACCCCAAATATTTAATGCAAAAGAAAGAGGAAAAGAACATGTTTAAATCTTCAACTTCACAATCACTAGTTCTAAAAAATGGCACTATGCAAGTTTAAAAGAACGTGTTTAAATATTCAACTTCACAATCACTAGTACAAAAATGCCAACTGCAATTTTACAGTTTGGAAACTGCAGTTTGCAATTTTGCATTGTAGTTTGCAAACTTTAGTTTGTAAAATTGCAGATTGCGGTTTGCAAAATGCAGATTGTAGTTTGCAAAAATGCCAACTGCAAAATGCAAACTACAGTCTGCAATTTTACAAACTGCAGATTGAATATTGCAGTTTGCACACCATCAAGAATCTTTCTTCACTCAATTAAATAACAAAGAACACATTATTATGTTATAGTGCAAAACCTTTAAAATTTTACAACGACAGTAGAGTGACCTACTTAGATGTATTTCATGTCATGCTACACAATTTAAATAAAAACTAAAAAACAAAATATATGCTCACTGTACATTCATGTCACAATTCAGCTACAGATACTATAAAATATAATATATAGGTCATATACACATGATCAGGTATATCTTAGTATATTTACGAAATTGCATCAAGTAAAGCTCTAAAAAATAGAATATGCAACAGACAAAAAAAAAAAAAAAAAAAATCCAATTATTTAAGCTTAACAGTGGATAATCAAGTGATAGATAATAGACTTATGACTAGCATTGCAATCATGACTATTCAATTATTTATATCTCCAATGCCTTAAATATCAGCAGAGCACCATACCTGATCTGGTGAAAGGTGAAACACTTTACCACCAATGGTGAATGACACATTGGGCATGGAAGATAGACTGCTACACTCAACAGTCGATTCTCCATTTGGACTGGGCAGTCGGTCACAAAGCTGCAATATAATCTATGGCATGAGCTTGAAGCAAGGCCACTTTTCCCCTGAATGTGAATAAGAAGGCTAATATACCTGATTCACGTAATCCAAGATTTGTTCTTCTGTCTTATTTCTCTTGAGCTGGTTCTGCATCCACAATATTGTCATCTCACAAGCAGTACACATAATGTCATGCACACCATCAGATGACTTGTCTGTGCTCTTATCTACCACGCTCTCAATGCCCATACTGTAATGCATAGTTGAATTTAATGTACATTAATAACAGATGTAACATAGTAGCTTCCAGAAATAGAACAATCATCACAAACAAGGGTAAAAATATATCATAACTATATTAAAATAGGGGTGAGACTGACCTAACACCTCAAGTGCCATCAAAAGTGCAAAGCCCCATTTGAGAGCAATCTTTTGTGGTTGTGTCTATAAAACAACAGTGATAAAACACCCTTCAACTCATCAAAAGAATTTAAATAAAAAGTGTGGCAGATAACAAAACTGGACGTAGCATGCAATCTAAGCTAAAATTTCACCTAAATGGAAGATTGGAAATGTGTTAAAAAGGTTGCAAAAGGATAATGCAACCAAGCATCAGATTTACCTAAGCTGTCAGTATTTCCAATATGGTTTTTCCATATTGATCAATCATGTCTTGCATTCTTGACTTATAACACCAGAAGCTCCAATGGCATGATTAATTTGTGTAATGACAGTCTAAAAATTCAAAGTCACATAACGATATCAATCTTCTCAGGTAGAAGGAATTCAATTTTATGAAAAATACACAAAGGTTTTTAAATTCTCAATAGCCTAATACTTTTTACATAGGTGACATATCTATCAGACATTGACTTCAAAAACCAACACATTCTATTTTATAGGACACAATTCCAGTAGATACCTTTCACAACATGACTAGAAAAAAGAACTGATGTATTTATCTAAGAAGGAAAAACTTCTAAATCATAGCTAATTCAAAACTCTGAGAGATATGTGTATGTTCATTGACATTTAAATATGATAATGAAATGCTTGCTCACCTATTTGTCTGTTGAGCAAGAACTGCCGTGATTGATATGCCGCTCCTCTGCTTTTTACTATACTATGTATGGTAAAAATCAATCAGCTTCTATTTTGTTTGATGTTTCATTCGACTATTTCACAACGTTTTAGGCACATTATATAGCTTTATAGCTTATAGTGGTTGATAGATGATATTGTATGCAATAATCTTTTCACCTCAGGTTCATGAAATTGCAATGGTGTCAGCAATTTAAGAAGCTTAGAAGGATGACCTTAGAAGTTTCAATGATTACATGATGAAAGTTTTGGAGGTTGGTGTAACATGATAGGCTTTTAGATTATCATTATAACTTTGTTTGTAGTTCTCTCTTCACATGCACTGATACAACTATTATTTTCTATAATTGGAAAATGTTACTTTTCTTATATATTTGCTTAGAAACTAATGAAATTAGAATAATGACCAATAAAAACAAACACTTTGTTTACTTTACCCATTGTAGCTTCTTGCCTCTCTATTTATGGAGCAACATTTAGTTGCATTCCCTCAATCAATTGTTTACTTAATATTTTCTGCCATTGCTGTGTGTATATACATGTTCACATCGATTAATTGATAGTTGCATTCCCTCAATCGATTCTCAATGCATATTATGCAATTTGTAAACAACCAAGAAAAAAGTTTGAATCAGTCACCTTCTATAGAATTCTTTCATTTTTTTCATTTAACATTCCCTCAAATCCAATAGCCAAAACACCCATCCCAACTGGTAGGTTCTCAAAAACTCTAACAACAAAATCTTGTCATCTTCCAGTAACTCAACTTTCGTGGGCTCGAACTCCTGTTTAAAAATCCATTTATTCATTAAAATATCAACATCTAAAACATCACATTTAAAAAAAAAAAAAAACAGAAATTTCAATATCCATGTTAAAGTTGAGTTTGATAGCTGAAAAACCCCAGACAAAACAACCTACAAATCAAAGAAATTTTGAGAAAGAAAAAAGTACAACACTGCTGCACATGAACATGTCGACGAAGTGTCTAATTTCATCTCAAATCTGCCCAAAGAGTGCTTAGCTTGCATTTTCCTGTCTCTTATTCTGGTGATCACAAAAGATGATCTCTAGTATGTCGTCGCTGGCTCAGAATCAAGGGACAGAGTCGTCACCATCTCTCTCTCAGTGCCAAATCAAATCTCAAATATGATCGTAGATCTGTCGACATCAGGGACGATGCACTTGTTTTAATATATCTCAAGTGCCGAAAACTCAGGCGCTTGAAGCTCCAAGCTTGCCGAGAGTTGATCGACCGATGCTGGAATGTTAGTGTTTGCTAATCACAATAAGAAGAAGATAGATTGATTAAACCCTAAAACCTTTTGCCCTAATCGCAATGAGAAGAAGATTGAGAAGAACAAAGCAATTAGATGAATTCCAACAAGAAGCAGATTGCGAAGAAAAGAGCAATTAGATGATTGATTGAGAAGATTTGAGAAGAAGCGCAAAATAGGTTTTTAGCAGCAAGGTTTTGTCACAAAATGGGTAGGAAACCCTTTTTCTAGGTAAACAAACGAGGGTTAACAAAAGAAAAGGCAAACTCTGGAACTCAAATTAAAAAATTGCCTGCGATGTGAATGAGGGTATTAAGTGTTATTTTGCCGGTTAATATTGGGGTATATGTAAAACTTTTGTTCGATCCCTACATGAATGAAAAGTGACAAAATAAACCCAAAATAATATGATTTGACCCCTAAACAATAAAAATGGGACAAAATCAACCTCATTTCATGTTGGCGGGAATGATATTTTTTTTCCCGGTAAATAATTGGGTTTATGGTAATACTTATAAAATGTTACCATATTTTAATTATATGGTAACATTATAAAAAAGCTATTATATTATTAGGTCTATTGTAACACCTTAAAAATGCTACTGTAGTTCCTATATTAGTAACATTTTACAAAAAAAGAGTTACCATTGATATAAAATGTGTTACAAAAAGTTAAAGTGTTATATATGAAAATTGTTATTGTAACATTTTAACATTAAGTGTTACCATAGATAGTCTATAATATCACTTTAAGGAAAAGTGCTACTGTCCAGTGTTACCGTAGGTAATTTTTGTTGTAGTATATATTCTGGAACTTGTACCTGATTCTAGTTTATCGGCATGCAAACCAAGTGTTATTCCTGTCGAGCAAAACTCAAAACTCACTACCCAAGAGTATGATAAAGCAATATCATCCTCACAAGTGGATCCTCCTTTAGAAGATGCATCACATTAACAGAGACTTATGTGACATCTCATCTATCTCACTATGACATGGCCAGATATCAGTTATGTAGTCCACATCCTTAGTCAATTCATGCATGGGCGGAAACAATCTCATATGGATGTAGCAATGAAGGTAATTAAGTATCTAAAGGGATATCCTGGATTAGGACTTCTCTTATCTCAAAATGGAAACCTTGATTTCATAGCCTGCTGTGACTCAGATTGGGGAACATGTCTGATGACGACAAGATCTCTTACCGGGTTTTTGTATAAAACTTGGAGACACGTTAATTTCCTAGAAAATAAAGAAACAATCCACGATATCCCTTTCATCAGCAGAAGCTAAATATCGAGCTATGGCCAAGACTACTTGCAAAATCACTTGGATTTTTGGATTATTGGGAGATCTAAAAGTACAGGTAAAGGGGCCTGTATTTATATTGTGATAATAAGGCAGCAAATGATATTGTAACAAATCCAGTGTTTCATGAAAAAATGAAACATATAGAAATTAACTGTCACTTTGTAAGAGAAAAAAATTAGGAATGAATCATTAAGACCATGCACATTGGTACTGCAGAGCAACCAGCAGATATCTTCACCACCAAACCGCTATGCAGCAAACAACATTCTTATCTACTATGCAAGCATGATATTTATGACATTTATCAACCGCAAGCTTGAGGGGGAGTGTTGAGATATGAAATATATTTGAATTAATGTGTATTTGATTCTTTCCATTGATTATTGATTTTCTCATTCATTGTAAATTTAATGACCGAATTTCATGTGATTGAGAAATCCTGGCATTATTGTTATTGCCTTATTTTGTCACGATGTTTTTGTATAAATAGGGCTATACATGTTGATATAAAATATAAAGAAAATTCTTCTTCTCTCTTGCTCTTGGCATTCTTTGGCATCTCTGCCTCTCTTGCCTTCACTTTATTTTCATTATCTAATAGTTGAAAACCTTAGGAACCTTACAAAAAATGAACCTCAATACCAATTCTTGACCAAACTAAAGAGTCAGTACCAGCATGCATAAACCCAAATATGAATTGTGAGCTTATAATTTTGAACCATGTTAAATTGACATTTCATGTAAAAACTTGAATTAGTAATTAATGATTCAATATTATATTTAGTTCGATAAGTCCATGGAATTTGGATTTTTTTAACTTTTTAATTTTTATCTAGATGAAATGCGAGGATTTGAACTTATAACATTTGACTCTCATATCGTGTTAAGTTTTTAGGTAAAAAAGTAACTTAATGCTGAATTTATCCCAGGCTTACAAATTTAATAACACATTATTAGGCTTACAAATTTGATAACACATTATTAAGTAGGCAACATTCCATTGATTAAAAACACCCAGTGAGATCCTCTTGGAGAAAACATAATGACAAAAAGGAATCAAATTAAAATTAATCCTAGAGGTATGAAAAAGATTCTATAGGATGCTCTTTAATAGAATCGGAAAACTCTATATATGGAACCATTAATTAATGACAAAGAAGTTTTCATTACAGTTGATAAAGTGAAATGATTATTGGAGTATTGGAAATGATATAATTAATACAACTTTATTGGAGTTTTCCAGCCTTTTCCTGGCTTAGTGGAAAACATAAAACGAAATGACAAATATGATAGGTCTCTTAAGAGTTCACTTTGTAAATACCAAAATAGAAATAATGGAAAAGTTACTGATACAGTGCTAATAATAGGGATGAAATTTGATCTATGGTGATTATAAGCTAAGAAAAAGCTTGAGACGAAAGCTAGCATCATGGTTGCTATAGATATGCAAAGAGTTAAGAGCCCAAACACCAACCGAAGTGGTAATAATGAGAGGAACTCTTTTTCTACATATCGTGCAGTAAGGATGGACAAATATATTAGTATTGAAATCAAAGAGAAGGATAATGCCATTGCTTCTGACACAGCAAACATCCGAAACACGACGTTTCTCCAATGAGTAGGTAGTCCTTCTTCGTCATTGTTACCACCTGGCACGCTAAAGATTGCTGCAAAAACTACCGTAGCAATGATTGTTGCAACAAGCATACATTGGGTAGCTGTGTTCCTCATCCATTCTTCTCCTTTTCTCAACAAGTTTGCATGCTCAATGGTGAACAACTCTCGAGGTGTTTTGTCCTGTCTATTCTTCATCTCTCGATGTGAGGGTTGTACGAGCAATTCAACTTCCTATATTATTAACATGCATCGTTTGACAAAAGTTGCAAGCAGGTTAATTTTTTAAAAGATGAAAAAAAAATCGCATTAAAGGTTAACCATAATAATAATAACAATAACAGTAATAATAATAACATAGAAATTATTAGCAAATCATTTTAATCAGAACGACAACAAAAATAATAAAAATGAATGAGAAAACTACCTTAAAGATTATCAACTCTTGCTGCATTTCAAAAGCTGCGCCAGGCACACTGCTTGCTTGTTTTGTATCTGGATATTTTGCCGCTAGATGTAATATGCTATTTTCTTCAAAATCCTTATAGCTTGCAACAAGTTGCTTGTTGAAACCAATCTCATATATCAGATCAAATACATTGGTATGACGGTGTATAATAGCAATATGAAATATAGTTCGCTTATTTTCATCTTTAAGATGAACCAAATCAGGAAAAAGGCGAATGAGTTCAGCTAAAAATTTATAGTTACCCAAACGAGCTGCATCAAAGAGTAAACTTTTATTCCTATAGAAGTAATCCCAAACTTTCTCATCTTTTTTTAATATTTTTTCCCAAAGATTTTCCACTAACTTAACAGCTTGATCTGATAAATCTAGGCCTGTTTCTTCATCTTTGATAGTTTGGTCCAGCAAATGCAAGGGCGTTTGAGCCAACCGAAGCAAGGCTGTCATCGTAGTTTTGTCAACCATATAGCAAGCTCCAGCTAGTTCATTTTCTTGATCATCTTCTAGCAATTTCAATGCGAGACCTGAGAAATTCACCCAAATTAATATGTTCAGAAAGCTCATAATTCTCAGAAGACTTGGATCATATGTAATTTGCCCACTTACTTGAATTATTCTTGATCATAATAAATAGTATATATTATATAGATATAGCTGAAATATACAATTAAAATCTAGCTGGAATATTAATAAGTAAACAAATACATACCGTACAAAGTACTATCGATGCTTGCGTAAAATATAGCATTTCTTTGCCGTTTCAATTCTTCTTGGGCTTCGGTATGCCTTTTCATTTTATCGTATAAAAATAGTGCAGTTTCCCTTTGTCCAAACAAAGTAGCTAAATAGAGTGGTGTCATATCTTTACCGCCTCGAATTGTCAGAAGACTTTGATCCTTTTTCAGCATTGCCTGAGCAATTTCCTTACTTCCAGCCATAGCAGCGTAACAGAAGGCAGTGTTGCATTTTTTGTTTTGGAACTTGAGGTAGTCCATTTGTTCCTCTTCAATCAATTTAATCGCCTCCTCTACAAACTGAGTTTGTTTTGCCCCTGCTGCTATATGGAAAACTGTTTCATGTTCCTCTGTGATAGCGGCACCTAATAACTTACGATTATGTCTCATCAAACCAATTATATCCTCAGCCACATTTCCTTCTAGAGCAGCCTTTCGAATGGCCAACAATAACCAGTGCTTATCTCTCCTTTCTTCACAAACAAAAACAATTTGGTTAAATCTTAACTCGATTTATACAGAATCGGTCAACTAATGCTGAAAGGATTTTTCAAAAATAAGGTACCAGCCAGTACAAACATCAGAAGACTATGAACGTTAACGTAAACAATGCATATTCTAAATTAGATTGACATAAGACATATAAAATTAATCTTACGACTCTTAATATAGAACGAATTTCATAAAAGAAAAAATATATCTGGGTGATACTATAGAAAATCTTATCCTTAAATACTACAATATAGGCAATTTTTGTACGTCATCTATGTCTATGTAAGCTTATTGTATGTAAATATAAAAGGAGCTTACCAGAAAGGAGATCAACAATAGGAGGCCACTTAATCATGTTGATATTTTCTGAACTATATAATGAATCAGATCTTGAGGAAGTTTCACTGTTCATGACTTGTTCCGAACGAGATGATGGCCCTGATCCAGCTGAAGTATCACTCTGATTCATATTTTGTTCAAGCGGAGCAACATCTACTATTGCATGTTCCAGTGATGCAGGAGCCGAATTTCGACGTCTTGTCTCCATATCCTTTAATTTTTTTTTTAAATGCAAACAAGCGCATGTTAACGAGTTTACTAGCTAAGAAAACATAAAAAATTTTCATTTTAACATTTATTAGGGTTAATAATTAAAAATTTGTTGTCAAAAAACTCGGATGAAAGCATGCATAGAACAATTGAGACACTACACGGAATTTTCAATATCTAAAATGCATGAAAATTCTAAAAGATCCATACCTCAACAGAGGAAATGATTCCCAGCAGAAAGTTGGAAGTGTTGGTCAACAAATGAAATTTCAGAAGACTAATCTTGACTACAATGTACAAAACACGATCCCATGCTATAGGATTATATCCAAAAATGGGTTTATATAAAGTAGATAGTGTCCTAATGCAAGGTCAAGTACGTATAACAAATTAATTAAAGAAAAAAATTTATATAATATGCATGGAGATTGTCTTTTCCGTTAATTAACTTTATAATGCGAGAATCTTGTAGTTTTTTGCTTAATTAATTAATGAAGTTGGTAGTGAGGCTTCTTTCAATATCTTTTATATTTGTATATAATATTTATAAAAGACAAATAGCCAGGTGGGCACATTGGAGTGGTTATTAAATTAACATTATAATGCAGAGAATCTTGTAGTTTTTTGCTTAATTAATTAATGAAGTTGGTAGTGAGGCTTCTTTGCATGTCTTTTATATTTGTATATAATATTTATAAAAGACAAATAGCCAGATGGGCATATTGGAGTGGTTGTTAAATTAACTTTATAATGCAGAGAATCTTGTGGTTTTTTGCTTAATTAATTAATGATGTTGGCAGTGAGGCTTCTTTCAATATATTTAATATTTGTATATAATATTCATAAAAGACAAATAGCCAGGTGGGCATATTGGAGTGGTTATTATGGTGGTAAATAAATTATGTTGGTAAACATTTTAACTGGAGCAATAATTGGACAGCAGGCCAACAAATCAATTTATTTTAATTTGAAAAATGACTTGATATATGAAATTAAGTAATTCAGCGAGGCCTTCAGAGAAATTACCAAGAAATTTCGCAAATGTAATTGATAAATTAACATATATTTATTAAATGTATTACATCATACGTTTAAATATTTTATCTAAATATTTTTCCAATAAACTCCTACCAATTATGACGCCAGTAATTAATCAATAGCTTAGAGAAAAATATTATCTAAGAATAAATTACCATATTTTAATCCTTCAAACAAACGAACTACAGTCAATAATTTTTTTTGTTCTTTCATAAAAAGTATCTTTTATTGATGGAAAATAAAGATTACCCTTAACAAGGTAGGAAGTGAGTCCAACTACAAAGATAATATATAAAGGTAAAGTCTAGAGCTAAGTGAAACGACAGACAGCATAATTACAACGATCATATAAAAATAGAGACTGAATTTGTAGAGGAGGTTCATGCCTCCATTGAAGAGTTGAAAATTGAAGTCTCATGTTTGCTAAGGTCTCAGCCATTCTATTACCCTCCCGAAAGCAATCCGAAACATGTATTCTCATATGCTGCATGGAGTTTGGTAGACAGGGTTGAACAGACATTGAACAACAGAAGATGAGTCACTCTCCAGCCAATTAATTGCTATTATTTAGGTGATAAATAATTTTTACTTAAAAACTATTTTACTAAGTCCAATTTTAATTCGAAAGGCTTTAAAACATAAACATCCTTCCGGTTTAGTTTAAGTGACAATTAGACCCTAATGTTTAAACAAGTGGAATTAAAAGTCTAAATATTATAACATCTAGTGACATTTTAACCCATTTTCAAAGGAATCTAGATAACATATTGACATTTAATTTTTTTTCTCAAATTAAAAAAAAAAAAAAATCTATTTATATCGTTTCTTGATTCAGACCATTACTTTCTCTTAAATTTGTTTAACTCTTGGTCTCACTATTGAAAGACTTAAAGATAGACCAATACAATTGTTTATTTTGCATGGAATCAGTTCTTATCTATTCAAGATTTGTTATAAATTAAATAAATAAATATATAAACTATTGAGAGCAGAGTTGACATTTTATTTTGTTTAATTTCAACTACTCATAAAATTTTCATGTTCATTATCACTGGGTATGGAAGACTAGAAATCACAAAAAGGAAGAAAATGCCAATTACAGATAGACACAGCCCTAATCAATCAATAATTTTCCAAAACCAAAATATATATAGATAAATTGTTAATATCTTATCTGAATAAAACAAAGTAAATTCGTGAGTACTGCTGGGCCGTAATTGGAGATATAAAATGGCTCAGCTGTGTTGTTGTTTAACTAAATACAAGGCACGGATTGATTATTAACGAAAACACGCCAAAGAAAAATCATTTGAAAGCATTCGTTATTTAAAGAACATTTAGTTGAAAAATTGCTCTAAAATCACGCAGAGTAAAGCTACTAAATAAATGATCAAACTATATATCTCCAAGGCAAAGGAGAAAGATGACGAATAAATAAAAACTAAAATCAATCAATTAGCCATGCAAGCAAGCTACAACTTAAGCAAACTCATGCAAGTTTTTAAGTCATTTTACGATAATCAAATTAGTTAGAGCGAGTTGGCTTTTGGCGCCAGTTTCCCTTTCAACACTTTGCGTCCTCTCTAACTAACTGCAAGTTGCAGCTCAAGTGGCAGTGCAAGTTGCAGATCAGATGGCACAGGAAGACAGCTGAAGAACAAGTTTCAACGGAGAAGATTGTGCAAAAGTTCAAGTATTTTTTGTATAAATTGTAATCATAGTCAAGGTTCTGTGTGTGGAAAATTTTCTTATAAAAAGGAATAAAAAAACGTAGTTCCTATACTCTTTTTCTGTGGTTTTCTTTTTCTTTATGTTCTTCTATCTTTTCATGGTATTAGAGCACGCCGACAGATGTCAATGGCAGATCCTAAAGCATCCTTTTCTTCAGCTTCAGTTGTACGCGAAAAAATAACAAACTCCATTTCAACCTCACCTTTAAGCAATATGCTTTCAACTATTTCAGTAAAACTAGGAGAAAGAAACTATGCATACTGGAAATCTCAGATGCTTCCAGCCTTGAAAGCTTATGATCTGGAAGGTTTTGTTACAGGTGAAAAATCTTGTCCCTCATCCTTTATTCTTGTTGATGAATCTAAAAGAGAAATTATTTTTGAACATGTAATATGGAAGAAAGTTGATCAGTTCTTGTTTGGTCGTTTAAATTCATCAATATTAGAAACAATGTTTCAACATGTAGCAAACTGTGAAACTGCATATGATATATGGCATACCTTAGAGATGCACTTTCTTACTGATTCTAAGGCTAGAGTGTTGCATTTACGAAATCAATTACAAACAACTAGGAAAGATAACTCAAGTATAAACGATTATGTGCTAAAGCTGAAAGAAATTGCTGGCTCTTTAACCACTAGTGGCGTAACTGTTAGTGATGAAGAGTACTGCTCTACATTCTTGATGGTCTTGGCTTTGAATATGATGCCATGGTTGCCACCTTAACATCAAGAAGCAGCAAGGTATCCTTATAGGAAGCGCAGTTTCTACTGCACAAGCACGAAATGAGTTTAGAAAAGAAACATTCAGCTTACTTAGGCTTTCATGAAGCAACGGCTTTTCTTGCTCACAAACAATCTGCTCCTCTGCCTAAAAATGTACTAATGAACAATGATTCAACAAATGCCTCAAGATTCACAATCTCTACCTCCACATCAAGATGAATACAAGAATGCCTATAACAGCACTCAGTAGTTTCAAACCTTCAATCCAGCATTTGGCAGGGGCAAAGGTAGAGGATGAATTTTTTACAAACCACGACTGATTTATCTATTATGTGGAAAGCCAGGTCATATGGCTCTTCATTGCTATCATCATTTTGACACAAATTTTCAAGGACATCAAAACCACAGACCTCAGTTTGGCATGCACAACAGCAGTCCACACAACATGTAAGTCCTGCACAGGCCTACTTTGCAAATACAACAGGTTCATATGCTCCTTATGCACACTGCAGTCTTTTCCTCTGACTCCACCAATGATTCCTCATCAAATGTAGTTTCAAAATACTTCGCATCTGAATCAATCTTCTCCTCATAACCTGAATCAATATGCTGCAATACCTTCCCCTGTTGGAAATCAGAAAAGTCCAACTACAACACCACTTAAAGTGACTGATCCTACTTGGTTCATTGACTTTGGAGCCACTCATCATATCACGTCAGATCCTCAACATCTTCCTTACAAAAATCAATATACAAGATCAGATTCTCTTCAGGTTGGCAACGGTCAATGCCTTGAAATCTCACACAAAGGTTTGGCCTTTATCTCTTCTTCTTGTGTAAATAAATCCTTGCAACTTAGAAATATACTCTATGTTCCTCAAGTTACCAAGAATCTCCTTAGTATTTCCAAAATTACAAGAGATAATCATGTGGTAGTTGAATTCTCTGCTGATGAATGTGTTTTTAGGACAAGCTAACTCAGGAGGTCCTGCTTAGAGGGACTATGCACAATGGTCTCTACCATCTTACCATTCCTTTAGATTCTGTCGAAAATAAACAAGCCATAAGTTTAGCATTGGCTTCTGCTCAATTTCCAAATTCCACGAGTAAAAACTCAATGGTTTCTTCTCAGCATCAGTCCTTGGTTCACAACTCTTCAACAATTTATGTTACTCCTTCTGATTGCTTTAGTGTTTTACCTTCAGATTCTGATATTGTGTATAATCCAACAAATAGTTTGGTCACTTGTACTTCACCTAGTATGCCTAAAAATAAAGTTGTACAAACTGATCCTACACAAGAAGGGGATTTGTGGCACCGCAAACTTGGTCACCCTCATGTATTTGCTCTTAATTCTCTTATTTCACATTTGAATGTAAAGAATCACTTTATCAATAAAGTTAAGTTCTATGAAGCATGTCAGTATGGTAAACTCTACCAGAATTCTTTTCCGACATCAACTTCTCAAACAAGCCAACCTTTTGAACTTGTTTTTGCCAATGTA